GGGTGTTGCAGGAAACCCTGTCCTGGCAGGAGGCATCCTGGTGGTCACCTCCCTGCTGGGCCTCCTCACCATCATCTGGGCCTTCTGGTACCAACGCAGCAGTCTCAGTGTTTTTAAAGGAGCCTGCCTCATGTCCTTCACCTGCCGGCAAATCAACGTCTTAAGTGTTGAGGCCGTCCACAGCTCTGTCATTACTCTGCTCTCCATGGATGCTGTGAATCTGATCGCAGCAATGATCTTAGGAACTGAGTATATTCGATCAGGCTGCTATAATTCCATCACCTGTATCCATACACAATACGTATGGTTTCTGTCCAGGTGGTTTTCAGTGCTTATTCATCTTATGAACGCATTGTTGTCCATCCGTTACCTGTGTCAGCCACAGAGTGGATTCAGAGCGAACGCCTTCTTTTCACTGATTTCTGTGCTGATTGTTGTTTTGGTCCCACTTTATCTGTATGTCACCAAAGTGGCATTAATCATTTTTTCCATTTTCCTTTTTGTTTTTGCTCTGGGCATCATTGCAAAATTTACAGCACCTACCTCGTCTCCATCTACTGCCACCCTGAAGAAACTGATTGTGGTTGTTTCCATGTGCACCTTCCTGGTTGTCTACTTTCCCAGTTTCATTCTTCAGTGCCTCCTCCTCAACTCACACCACATTTCTGAGCTTGAGCATTATAATGTTATTTATGTGAATGTTCTGTATTTCACCAACTGTCATATCATTTTAAATGGACTCCAGAGTGCTTTAATCCTGAAGTTGCCTTCTGGAGAAGAAGAAGAACAGCAGCAACCACAGCAACAAGAGCAACGACCAATAGGTTTTGATAATCCAGGATATACTACAGATGTAACTACAAAATGAACAAAATGATGTCACTGCACCATGAAAATTAATGACACAACAATTGGTAGATAACGTAGGATTGTCTCACTATTAAAAGCTATTTCTGTTTGTATGTACAAAAACCATCTGAATATTTGCATGTCTTTCGCCTTGTCCTAATGAAAGCAATGTCAGACTGAAAAGTCCTACTTTATTCATGTAAACCCTGAACTCAAAGATGAAAATCAGCATTTCACCCTCTCTGTCATCGTCTGATTATAAATCCAGTGTGAAGCAAGAAGAAANCATCGCAGCAACAACAGCAACAACAGCAACCACAGCAACAACCATCGCAGCAACAACAGCAACCACAGCAACAACCATCGCAGCAACAACAGCAAGAACAGTGGCAGGAACAACCAATGGGTTTTACCAATGCAGGATTTACTACAAATGAAACTACAGAATGAGCAAAATGAATTACTTTGCCACCTCAGGTGGTACCAATAAGGGACTTTTTGGGTCCTCCCCATTTGCTACTTGTATTGTCACTGTCAAATCTTTAATTCTTGTTGTAAAGGACTTTCTTCAGTGACTGTGGATGGATCTGATGTGAATTTATCAGAAGAGTCACTTAGTTCAAGCACCAATGATTAAAAAAGAAAATCTTTCATTTATAGATGTGCCTGCTATCTAAAGTCCAAAAGTCTAAAGTAAATAAAGATATTATATCAGTGGAAAGACTGAGGTTTGTCTGCTGATATAAAAGATATATAAGATAGCGCGTGCATTATTTTTACAAGCTGCTTCACAGCCGTAAATATGCAGCCCAAAGACACAAAGTTAATCACTCAGCAGCTTCCCCCACCAACAAACTGGCTCTGCACATCAAGTAAGACACAATTTTGAGTGTTTTTAAAATGTTCAGAAGCTATTTGACACCTCTGATAATTAATAACAAGCGGATGAAAGTTTGAAATAATTATTTTAGTGTAATTTTGCGGTTTTATCAGCTGTTAAGTGTAATGAAATCACTTTTATGTGCTCTGTAATTAATGTAGTCATGCAGGTCTTTTAATCCAAGGAGTTCAGTAAAAAACAACTGGACTTCTCCCAGGATTACAACAGTGAGCAAAGAGAAAAGAAATGTGTTGAATG